CACCACTCGAATCAACAGGAGCTATTGCTTCGGAGATAAAAGCACGCAGAGCTGAAATTTATAAGCTGATATGCAAATCCGAAAAATACATAAGCAGTCATTTTTAAGATTTAATTTAAATACTTATAAAAATCTTAAAAATTCGCAAATAACGGCGACTGACATTAATAGTCTTTGTTATTTTTAGAAGTGATTTGTATCAAAATAAGAGGAAGACTGATCTTTTTAATTAATTATTATACTTCATTATGTTAGATAATATAAACAACATTTAAATTTAGCAATTGTTGTGAATCAGATCTGAAGAAATTTTGTACGAAATTTCAATTATAAAAGTTACAAAAACAGACATCTCTGGTAAGGAGCATCAATTTGACGATATTTAATCTGAGGACCACGATGAGGCTGATCAGACCATGGATTTGTACGCAATTCGATCAATAACCAATCAGAATCACTTTCAAAACGTATTCCGATCAAATTTTCTTCAGCACTTTTATTGCACGAAATTCTGAAATAGCTATTGATTGTTATTAGCTAAATTTCATTAATGTTTTCAAAAAAATTGAATAAAAAAGTATTTGTTATTAATTAATTCAATTTTCCATACAAACTTCTCAGTGCTTGAAAAGCTTACGGATTTAAGATACTTTTAGCACCCCAAATATAGAAAAAATCATTGCACGGTGTATTGGGTGGCATATTTTCACCATCCAAATCCAAATCTTTCACATAAAATTCGATTGTTTTTCCAGATTGGCTTTTGATCAACCACTGACAGAATATTGCATTTGTTTGGCTTCTAGGATAAGTGCTAAAATACGAACAATTAATCTGTTTTTCTTCATCTAAATTTCTAATAGAAAAAATTTTGCTTCAAAAAAACAAACAGTAAAGTACAGTAAGGTCAAAGTAGAAATTTTTTGATTACAGAATGGATGCATGCAAAACAAATCTTCTATATGATGTTTGTATTGAAATTTGAATTACAACTTTACCAATTTTTCTACATTCCTTTTTACATAGTATAGCATTTATATAAGCAATTTCGTTGTAATTATTTTAGCACAAAATTTTCCCATACAAAAGTGAACAATGTACAATGTTTTGTATAATACTATTGCTTTCTCACTGCTTATTATATTCTATACATTTATTTTGTTAATATATTTTTAAGCATTAAAGTTATCTCAAAACTTTGCATTATCAATAATTTCCTTACAGTAATACTGTAAAACTTTTTAACTGTAATTCAACTTGATTTTATGCCCTAAAATGTTTATTTCATCTGAAAAATTTTTTAAAAAGATTCTAGAGCATGAAGTCTTTTTGAAAAATATGCTTTCTGAGAGGTAGTAATAATTCATAAAGTATCTTAAAAATAAAAAAGTATGCAGAATATTTGACCTCAGTGATATTAATCCGTGCTCCTTCTCATACACTCCACATGATGCATCAGTAAAGAATTTTCTTCGAGAAAGTTGCTCACAGTTTTTTCCATCAAAACCATAAATGCATTTACAATTGCAATTGCTCTCAACAACTGTCCCACCATTTTTACATTCAATATCACAGCGATCTGAAAAATGTGCTAGATATTATTTTATGAGATAATTTTATATTAGTCAAATTCCTAACAAAAAAAAGTTGCTGAACGGACCTCAGTTATTTATGATAGCAAAGTCGAATTAAATGCAAAATAATTTTCGCTTTATCTTTCAGAGAGTAAAGAAAAGCTTATGTTTTCTAATTATTATTCATCTAATTTCACGTATTCTATGCATAATTCGTACTAATTTGTGCACAATATGCGTGCATATTTTATGAACTGAACGGTATTGAAGTATGAAAGCAAATCCCCCGTGAGAATTACACGCAGTTCCAACTCATGTAATTTGGAATTCATAAATCAAGTCAAATATTCAAACTTCTTTCACTATTTGAACTGAAATTCATACATTGAATTATGAGATATGGAAATTCTCTCTGGCATTACATCGAGTATGGTCTATTGTAGCAGAAGTTCAACTACATAATTTTAAAAATAAGGCATAAAGCAAGCTTAAAGATTGAAAGTACAGATATCAGATCAGAGAGTTGTATTTCGACAAGTATATATTTCTGAATAATAAATGAGTTATTAAGGGTAAGGTTTTTTTATTTTCAATTTTAAATTGATAACTAATAGGGTCTGCGATGCAAGGCCAGATTTTGAGCAACTATGTCAGGCCAGTAATGTAAAATGTGAGCTTTAACCCTTGGATTTTCACACTCACTAAGAAGCATGAGAATAATGATGACTTGTGACTACTTCTTGTTCCCTGTCCAGTGGCTTTACTTCTACTCAAATCTATCCTTGAGTGAGCAATATAATAATAAGCAATTGTGGTTGATTAAAACAAATTACTTCAAAACTGAAAAGCTTTTTACTTCTTCCTTCCTCTTTTCGAGTCCATTCTCAAATCAAATCAAATCAAATCAAATATTTGGCTGAAATATTCAGTTGCTAATTTATTCCGATGGTCCATCCCACTCAACTTTGTTAATTATATCAAAATTTACCACAATTTATGGATTAATTTTGTAAATTTTGGCTTTGCAATCTTTAAATTATGCATTTCCTACTATTTACAACATGTTTACATTGCTGTCAATTTGTTGAATAATTTCCAGCTCTTCAGGTAATCAAATCAAATAATGCACAAATCAAGTCAAAAATTAGATTACTTTTACAGGCAAAAACGTCAGACTGAATTAATTTGATTCCAAAATAGTTCTTATCATGATAAAACATAATTCTGATAGCTAATGCAAAGCACAGTTGTTACACGTATTTAGTCATTAATCAAGACTATCGACTGATAACATGAAGTTGATTGTCTTAACTTTTTATGTCATGAAAATTAGATACTCACAATGATTCATTTTCTGTTATCATTTAAATTATGGCAAAATAATCGCATCTAATATTATTAACATTGTTGTATATATTGAATATTTTTTTAAATTCAAAAAATTTGCCACAATTTTTGCAGACTAAACTTCATGTATATATATATCAAATATTTGAAATGAATTTTAACATAATTTTAAGCAAAATATTTGAATATTGACTGAAAGAGCTCTACTGGAAATATTGCAAAAGATCTGAGACTCATGCCAAACTAATTAAATGTTGCACCTATATTGTTAGCAATGGACAGTAGAAAAGGTCAGACTTATTTTACATCTAGCAGGTGGCCATATTGTAATTTATTTATTCACTTCGTCTTTTGAAGCTTTTTTTGAATGTAATATTTTATGCGCTTTCAAATGCATCAATAAATCAAACTTAATTACAACTAATAAGTTCAAAATTTTAGAATTGCTCTTACATTTTCATTTGCAAGAATCGGTTTTTTAGTCAAAATTGAGCAATTAGCAAGTTAAAATTAATATATATTTATAATAATTTTTGAGTTATTATATGCCTGTAATAGATTAATACAAGTAGTATTTTTGAGTGCAAAATAAAATAATAAACAAACACGTTAAATCCTTTTGATCTAATACTCATTTAGAAGAAGCAAAAGGTCAAGGATATTGTGGCCATTACCGGATATACTAATTTTGGTGTATATTAACTGAACATGTGTGTGTGTATCCCATGAAACAGCCATAACTAGGTAGCTCTTTCTGGATGATTAGATAATTACTATTGTTAATGTAATGATGTCAAAGGTCAAAAATCAGTATATAATAATCATAATTAATTACAAGTTATTTAGTGTACCTGTGCAATTGTACATTGTATTTATTAGACGAGTCACGTGAGAGCGCATAGGTAATGATAGGGTTGCGACAGATAGCGCATGCGACAATACTGCGAGACAGACATCGGAAGATAGTAGTGCTGATGATGACAGCTCCTCAAAATTACAATTTTCGCGTCAGTAAAAATTGAATTCAAATAATTCATCTAATAAAAGTATTACATAAACAAAATACTTTTTTTCAAAATAAAAATAAGTATGGAGCAGTTTGTTTTTGGCCATAAATAAACTATTCATAGATGAATTTTCGTATTTGAAAAAAATTTTAGAAAAATAAATTCCTTTTTGAAATAACTTTTCGTTTGAAATAATGCAAAAAAATTCATTGAAATAGAAAAAATATGCATTTTAGATTGAGTATTACCACTCAATTAGTCTTCAGATTACGTATATGACCGAACTTATGAACTTACATTTAAGCAATTTTCATTTAAATGCATTGTACGATTTGATTTTTGCCATTGACATGACCTGAAATAAAGCATTGTATTTATTATAAAATAAATAATTAGACTAATACTTAAAAATTTCTTTTGGATTCAATTTCTAAAGCCAAAAGTTAGAAAAATTGCATTCAGTGATGTTATTTACAAAATAAGTGAAATTGAACTTTCATAATTTTTGATTTGTATGAATGAAAAGTGCTTGATGCTAAGAATAAACGTAATTACCAGAAATAGATTATTTTTATCAATATAAAATTTGTTAAATAAGCGAAAGCAAATGGGATAACCACTTGTACAGTAAGAAATCTGCTTCACTCCACTTTGTATTATAAACACATTAATATCCGCTAATATTTAATTTAATTGTGAATATTAATATGCACTTTTGAGATTATTCAAGCAGAAAATAAAATCAATTAGCCAAACATTAAGTTTGTTGTGGCAATATAGCTCAGAAAGTGCTTATAATCTAACTTATGCAATTATAGAAATTACAACAAATTCAATGCACAGTCGTAATGGAATGACCAGAAATAATAGATTTTATTTTTTCCAAATTCAAAAGAATTTAAAAAATTGGAGGGAATTATCTCCTTTAGTTTTATTGCAATATACTATAGTGAGTGATGATATGTCGTGAGTAAAGTAATTCAAATTTTGATTACCTTTATTTATTACACCAATAAGTAACATTTGCTATGTGCATGCCATCAAAGCATCCACAACTCTCATTTTTAAGAGTTTCAATAAGTGTAAATATTAAACTTACGATGACTGCATGAAATTAATTGTATTTGTATGCAGATTGTTACTGCTACGTTCGAACACTAAGCATGTTTGATTGCTTATCACATCCATAGCTTTTCTGAGACAAACATTAACGGATTCATCTAAAGCAATTTTTGAATTAAAATTTTTGTACGAAAAGTAAAAATTTGCATATTTTGAGAAGGGCCGTAAGAATGCATCATAGACATATTTTTGTGACATTTTAGATGTTTTGTGTAACTTTAATGATGAATTAAAAATATACCATTCTCGGAATGAAAATTATACTTGATAATTTCGAGAGAACTTGCAGATATAACCTGAAAAAACTTAAGAGTTGAAATAACAATTTAAAAATTCAAACTTATATAACTTAGCGATAGAATACTAAGAAAACAATAATTTTAAGAATATAATTCAGTACACAACCGTCAATTCTTGAGAGTTATCAGGAAATACTTGCTGTTTCCAAGCAATATTAGCTTATTTTATTACCAAATTAAGAATAATGAAACCACAGCAGTATATTGCCCAGCCAATTCTGTAACTATCGGTCTTATTTGCCATAGTTGTGTGCCTGTTGAGCCGATCAACGATATTGTTGCGTGATAATCTATCCAATACAATTCATGCTATATTATATATAATTTATGCTCTGTAAAATACAGTTCATACATATAATTCGGCTTCAGTAATATAAAATCAGAAGTAATACTTAAACAGAAATAGCACTGTTTGAATCATTATTATTGATAGTTTTGTTAGCAAAACGTTCAATTGAAATATCTCTCTACAAATTTACAGATTAGTTAAGTAAATATTTTACTTACACTGATTGGAAACAGTAATGAAAAAATCACCAATTCCTACAATATTTATGCTACCAACAATGAAGGTTATAATGGTCAAAGTGTACTAATAAACAATGAGCTAAACCTCTTCTTAGTTCAGAATGCTAATGAATAAATGAATATGAGGAAAGGCGGGCAAATGAGACATATAAACCTTAAATTGCAAATTGCATCTGGCTCGTGATAATGACCCGACCTGTCTTTGTTGCTAACTTATATATAAAGTCAATAATAAAGATAGATTAGGTCGTTATACTAGTAGTTTTTTTGAGATTGAAATTATGATAGCTCCTAGAATATTACTCCTAGAAAATAGTTCCTAGACTAGTTCCTATTGTGTTAGTTCCTATTCTCTTAGTCCCTAGAATATTAATTAATGTCCTAGAATATTACTTTTTCAATTTAGCGGATAGAAGTCTTGCATTTTTTGTCACACTTTATTTTTTCGATAAATTTTTAACAATTTTGAGAAATTTTGCAACTAATTGATAAATGATATTGATAAAGTCAATTGTTTAGACTAAATTTGCATTCAGTGTTTGATTTTTTTTCAAAATTGTATCTGTAGCAAAGAAAAATATTTGTTGAATAATATTCAAATTGCAAAGAGCAAGCATGACTCTGACTCTCATATATATTAAAATAATAGGCTTATTAAGGATATCATGCATTTATTCTTGTTATTGCTTTTACATTTTTATGAATTCCAGTAGGCATTTTATATCTTGTGTGAAGGATATATGAATTATATGAGTTGGAAGGTCAAATACAGTACTACTGTAATTATTGTTAGATAGCGGCCAGCTGTGCATATTTTTTGATTAGCTATTACAGCAGGACAACTTTCCTCTCTAATCATTACAATATTTTAAATTTTATGAGTTAGTTCATTTCCAGAAAAATGCAAAAAAAAACTTTGTATAATGCCTGAATAGTTTTTTGGATCACTTTAATTATGAACAACTGTAATTATAGTTGTTAATTTTTTTGTATTACAAGCAGTCATCTTCGACCTTTCAGAAAGCATCTTGTAATTGACGTATTGAATCTAAACTTGGTAATTCGTAATGAAAAGCATTTTTTAACTTTACAAAATTAATGCAACTGACTGATTTAAATGCAATTATTTTCATTGTCACAACTAATCTGATAAATTGCAGTTAGTGTTGTATTTGTTTGAAGGTTGCAAATTTTCTAGAGTTAATGCTTTAATCTTTAAAATTTAAGCATGCATACGGTTGACCTCTCTGTGGTTAGCATTCACACACTTGATCTACTGCTCAGTATAAAGCACAATTACTTATCATCTGAAATAGACAGTACTCAGAGAGTACTTAGACAGCACTGAGCCATGGAATAAAACGCAATAAAATAGCCAATGTATGATTATATTAGTCGGATTGCAAAATTATTGCCCAACAGATTCACTTCTTTGCAAGTCCAAAATCGAACAGTTATATATCAGTAATATAACTCTTTTGTTGTATAACAATGCGCAAAAAAATAATACCTTCGACAGCAATCAGAATCAGATTCTTCCTTCAATTCTGAATTAAAGATCAGAAATCCTTCTTGTTTGTGAATACATTAATGCATACAAGCATGCAATTTTTTCCTTATAATATAATTTTTTATTACTATAATTCACAGTAGAATGTGAAGTGTATATTTTGCAATGTGCATGACCTACTAGCAAGATTTTGCACGTTTAACAACTCGTTATCAGTTCAAAAATTCCATATCAATTAGTTAAGTTTCATTTTTTAGAAATGGCGAAAACAATGATTGCTACTGGCACTTATATGATATCTGACAGTGCTTTGCTGACAAAATTCTTTCAATGTCATAAAAATTTTTTCAAGAAAAAGATCGAATTTTACTGCTACTAATTAGATATCATTTAAGTGAGAATGACGTCTGCTCAGAATGCTACTAATTTGGTGGGATTATTCGAATAAAAATTCTCGCCTAATAATTAACAGAAAAAAGTAAGTGGCGAGAAAATTTATTCTAAAATGCTTTTAATTCTAAATTTCTATCAGTCAGCTTTTATTTACATTTGGTGATGACACTGTGATATTGTATTTTATTCAATTACGTCTTTTTCAGTTATTTTCAGATGTTTGAGTAAAATGACTTTCAATTTAATGTGATGTGATGGTTTTTGGCGTAAAAGTTATTCCTTTAAAACTAATAGAGCAATAGCAATTTGTGTTTAATGAATAAAGTTGGAATTCAAGAGTACTTGAGTAAATATTAAAATAATAAGTTTTTAAGAACATTTATTGTTGTTATTGCTTGAACACTTTTATGAATTTTGATACGAATTTCATGTATTGTGTAAAGTTGAAAGGTCAAATACAGTACCATATTTTGAAAAAATGAATTTCGTAGTTAATTTTTTTGAGAAAGAGGGTCACTTTTTTGTACATTTTTTGATTTCCTGATGAAAAAGATTCTGAGCTTCAGAATACATTCAGAAAAATTATGATAAGTTTGAAAGTGAGAGTTGATATCATTCAAAAAAAATAAAAAAGTTATTTTTCATTGTAAACTAACGATGTTATTTCTCATCGTTGCTCACAGTAAGCGTAAAGAATTTATCAAGCAAAATAATATTTGCTAAAGTGTAGTCATAATTATATTAATAGCATAAAAAATTAATGTTTTGTTTTTGCAGATGGCATATGAAATGAAGTCGAAAGAATCACAACCCCTTACTTAATTTGTCTGCTCCAAAAAGGATAAATGAAGCAGTGAAAACAAATCTCCTCGATCTCTTTATTATTCTTACAAGGGAAGAAAGCTTTACTTGCCAATTTGAATCTCTTGATTTATCCAACAAACAAAAAAACTTGTCTGAAATCAAATTTATGACTTAGGCTTAGTATGAAAGCAAGACCACTACAAGCATTACCTCCCAAATTGTCTTCAGACTGCTTACAAACAACATATACGTGTATTCTGTAGACAAAGAAACTGAGTTGAGGATGTGTGATTTTCAGTCGAAGTAAAAATTTCTTTTGTGCAAGAAAAAACAAATCAAAAATCATCACTTTACCGAACATTTGATCCAGCATAAACCTTCTTTCATGGCTAATACAAGAAAAAAACAACGCGGAAATCTGAAGCAAACTTACAAATTTCAAACTTGTTGCTTTTCTTTCAAATAATTCATCTTTTCAAGACTTTGAAACTTAACGAACGTGGAAATTTGAATAAATAATGAAATTTAAAAAAAAGATCACTTATAGAGAGATAATTGTAAGTGATTACATATTTGGAATGATGAGAAACGATATCACATCCGTTGAATATGTTTGCAATCTTCTGATATTTTTAGACAGTTAAGCTTCCACCAACGCAATCACAAAGCTATTTTCCCAGCTTGCCTTCAGAAATTCACTCATAATTATAAGTTGAAATTATAAAAGCACAGATAGCACAAGTCTTTGGGTAGTGAATTTTTATAAAATTTATCCATCTTGTTATATAATAGTGATATAATGTTAAAAATTATTTCAAAATTTGGCTGAAAAAGAAATTTTGAATTTTTTTGAGAAGCAATACGCTTTGACATGTTAGCTAAAAATGGGATAAACAGATTGTTGTATTATTTTAATACTAAAATTTGACAATTATTCAATTTTGAATAGTTTCTAAAAAAAATGATAAAAATACAAATATGAGAGTAAAAGTCTTTTTTAACATTCAGAAGTTTATGTACTAATTTTTAAGAGTATGTGCACAAGATATCAAGCAGTTTGCATCAGATATAACAGTTTGATTATTTCAGTCATTTTTGGAAAATAATTGCCATTGCTTTTTTAAATTTTCACAATTAATCAAATCAAATCAAATCAAAACATAATCTCAATGAATAATGCATGTCAATACTTTTTCTACTGCATACCAATGATTTATACAAATAATACTTTCAGTAATAATCAGATTAATTCATCTGATTCTGAATAAAAATCAAAAACCGCTTCTAAATATTGCCACATAGTTTGTCACATTAAAGTTTATGATTGTTTCGCACAAAAACTTCATTTTACAACAATTTTTGTTTCGTCTGCAAATACTGTCGTAGCTATTTCTAGCTAACAAACTTCGCACAATCATTTTTATCTTATAAGCATTTTTTATCACAAAACTTTTGATCAAGTCTTGTTTACTGATAAATAAAAAGTAAAAGGAATTGGTATTTGTGATGATTTGGTATAAAACTCATTGAAAAGTGGAAAATTCTTCATAAGATAATATATTTATTGAGAATTAGAAATGAATTCGTTTTACATTCAACATATTTTGAATTATAATTTTATTAAGAAAAAAAATTATCTTAGCAAGTCAAAAATCTAACACTGATCTTCTGCCATATCAGTCTTTTGCTTACTTCAGATGAACACAAGAATATCACCGAGATGGTGCGTATCTATTGGATTATTGCTTCTGTTTGAAATGTTTGACGTAAGTTTGATTACACATTTCAACTGCCTATCAATGCTATAAAAATTTGAAGCATAAAGATAAAATTCAGAAGATTACACATCTGCTCAGTATAAAATTCAACATTTATTCAGTATAAAATTCAAGTAATAGTGTGAATTATTAACTTATGACGTCTGTTACAGATGGCAAATGGTATAAACTCGCCTCCAAAAACAAATTCCCGTCACAAGACTAGTTGTAACAGAAAAAGATTTCCACAGCAAACAGAATGCTTTAATTTCTCTATGCCAAAAGTACGTGTAAAACGTATGAACTTTACAGGCACAAAATTCATTCTGAAAACCAGTAGTAACAATTTTACAACTCTCAACGACACAAATCTTTTCGAGAAAAACGAGAATGAAAAGTTATCCCTTAAAGTTTCCAGCAGTGCAAATGCTCCTGTTGAAATATCAGGCAGTTTGCAAAATAAAAGTGATGAAAATTCGCATGAAATGAATGATAAGTGTGAAGGATCTCCGAGAATTAGTATTAGTGTAAAAGAAGCAGAAAGTGAATATCTGACGCATAAAAATTCATCTAATATCAGTCGAAATCGTTCTCGACCTTCTATTATTAAAGAAGATTTGAAAGGGAAGGCATCTGGTCACTTACAGAGGCGTGGAAGACCGTTACAGTGTGAATTCTGTTCTGGAAGATATATGTCAAGGAAGGATTTGATTTTGCATATGACTATACATACTGCTAAAAAGTCATATTGATGTGATTCACGCGATCATCACGAAGAAAAGCAATCACAAACTCCTCTAAATCGATGGCAAATCTTAACTGCTTTTGAATCTAAGATACATGCAATGCAACAATCGGAGAGATGGAAATAGCCAGTCAAGTCACTGCTGGTTTCACCTTATCTCATGTTATATGCTACTGATTATTTATAAAATGTTTTGTTCACCAAAATAGTCCTTTGGTACTAATTTGCACAACAAATACCATACCATACGACTAAAAATAACACTGATGAATATTTACTATCTTAAAAAATTAGCAATTATTATTATTATTCATTTAATTCAATCAATGCCTCGAAGTTAATGCTATTTCAATGAATTTTTGTTTTGTATTTGATTATTCTTATCTAAATTTGCATGCATGCTTTGTTTTCATTATGAAATTGGAAAAAACTGTAATAACATGCTACAGTTCTGAAAAATACTTACTGCTATGTATAGTCAAGACAGATATTGTACGTAACACAAAGCAAACAATCATCGAATTTATGAATATTTGCAAGATATCTCAGAAATACTTTATGCTGTTCTGTACTCATTTGTATATTATTTGCCATGGATAAAATCATTCATCCACGCAAGAACTCGCTTTTTGTCAAGTTAAGCTTAATTAGAGTTTAACATTTTTCAATCATAAAATAGGGAAATGGAATTGCAAGCATTAAAATTATATCTACAATTCAAATAAATGAATTGGAAGGTCGAAAGTGCTTAGCAACGAGGTGATGCGCATGGAATATTTTTAGAATGCTTATGAGAGTCGTGAAGATAAGACTAGCACGTGTAGATTTGACGTACTACTCCAAAACGATCACTTGAATTAAATATTTAAATTATAACAATTTTTTTGTAGTAAATTGAATTGAAATATTTTGAAAAGCACATTTTTACTTACTTTGTATTGTTTTTGTTCTCTCCTCAAGAATTGAAATTTTATGAAAATAATTTCTGACTTAATTTCAAAGATTGTTAAATATGCAATGAAAACATTATGACAAATCATTTCTAGCACAATTTTGAGATTATCCGGTCAAACAATGATGGATCGCATTTCGTATTACAATGAAAATATTATCGTAAGTTTAAATTCTTAAGTCTTCATTTATAGTCTAATCAGTTAATTGCAAGACAATTTGCTTGCTATATTGAAATACTAAGTGTATTTGTGTGTTTTATATGCTAGCAAGTAAGCAATAATATGATCAAATTGATTACAAAAGAGCTATTATTAATTTTTATTCTCCGATTGCTTACTTTGTTTAATATTTTTTTTAAATCACAAAAATGATTCCTGCAATTTAATTCAAATATAACAATAATTATACAAAACTTAATGCACATTAATTAGAGCAAATAAAAGTATTTTTTGAATTTCCAGCATGTCACTATTTCAATCACTGATGTGATATTTCTCAGCTCTTTCATATTTACATTACAGATGTTATTTGCATGCGCGAAAAAAGTTTGTCGCCTTATTTTTTTTTTGTACTGAATATTACTTGTTTGAATCTTAAAAAGAGAAAAAATCATCCCTTTTTGATCAATTGTTTAAGTTTTCTATTTTCTCTAACCTGAATTATAAAAAATAGCGGGAAAAAGTATACAAATAAACCACTGAGAAACAAACATCTAACTTTGGATGAGTGTTTGAAACTGAAAATTAACTTCATAAAATGTTTACTTTTTCAGCGCACTATAATAGTAAGACAAGACAAAAGGATAGGTTATACGATTAATTCACTTTTTTTCTTTCTTAAAATTCAAAAGCTAAACAGAAAACTGTGAATTCTGACTGCAAGATACAATGCATACTGTTGTGAGCACTGAGAAAATCACAATCCAATCCTTACAATAAGCAAAAATAAAATGCTAAAAAATTAAACGATAGGAGCGAAAAATGCTGATAGAAAAAATCCTAAGCAGAAGCAGAAGATATAATAACATTTTTCATTTGCGTATTCGAGAATGTCGAGCAACACACGGGTCACTATTACAACAAATGCTCATTATCACTATAACAAACTGATCTTAATTTTTTTCAACGCCGTCATAAATAAATAAATATAAATTCTGATATTAATTTTCCAAAATGACTAAAAGTTTTCAAGCTTAAATTTTATAATATGCAAAATGTTATTATATCTAAGTGTTCACAACAATATGCGTTATATGCTAAATTATTTGTATAAATTTGTTCATTCCTGCCCTAAAAATAACTCCTCTGTCTCAGATAACGTTTGCATGCAAAATAATATAAATATAATTTAGCATCTCCACAAGTTCCATCGTCACCTAATACTTCCCCACTGGAAAGAAATGGAACCCCAGAACCAAAAATGTCCGAAGATCGCTTTCAATTTGTCAAAGGCATGCATCAATTTGAAGTAAATTATGCAAATTTTCAATTTAAAAATGAACTTTTCATCCACTGAATTGATAGACTAGTGGAGATGAAAATTCGCAATGTATGTAAGTCAAAAGAGAGATTATTCCTTTAAATAAATAATAGAATTAATTTTGTATGTCAAATCTGACTGTTAATTTTAATGCCAATAAGGATCAGTTACCAAAAAAAGATGCTGATGGCCAACAACCAATTCGACCCGGACAAAATATAATGGCTCAAACATATGATCCGAATTACCAAGTAATTATTAAGCGATCAGTCAGTATCGACAAGATGAAATTATATTAATATACTTGAAATCAAGGATGTATGCTACTGCCATTAGCATTTAGCTTTTACTTGAAACAAATAATTTCAGACTTTAGCAGGTTTAAATAATGATCAGGTATTTGGTCTAAATAAAGATCCAAATGCTCCAGCACCTATTTTGCCTGGTCAAAAAGTATTCGTCAAAACAACCGATCCTAATTATCAGGTTTACATAAAAGTCTGATTAATTCATTCTGGCTCACTTGTACTTATATTCTAGTGTTTAGCCATAAGTTAATCGTTGTTTTTATTGGATATTCATCAAGCACTGAAAATTTATGAAGCGTTCCTGTGCAGTACTGAAATTCGTTAGATTTCACATTGTAGTACCTTGCACACATCGCAATAATGAAAAATGAAAGAGCACAGCCTTTCCAATTCAAATGTAATTTTGAAAAATTTTTAGACACTGGCGGATATACAGAACGAAGTAGCCTTTGGTGCAGATAAGAAACAGGTCAAGCTTTAAGTTTATCTATTATTTGATGTAAATTTAATATGTTTAAACATTAAACTAAATAATTAATAACTTCTCAGTGATTTTTTTTTAATTTTTGGCGGGAGAATGAGCTAAACATTTATGATAAAAGTAAAAATTGAAAAAAATTACTGTGGTTATTAATATAGTGTGTAAAATTTTGTTATATCTTACATTTTACTGGAGAGAGAAAGTGCTAAAAAATTTTCAAACTTGGATTACTAGGGATCAGGCTGAAAAAAGACTAGTTAGGATCTTTTTTACAGGACATACTACAAAATCGGCAAAATATCCAACAGCCAATATTTCCATCTGCTCCACCTCCACCTCAGTCTCCACCTCCACCTCAACCGCAACCTCAACCGCAACCTCAACCTCAACCTCAAGCTCAACCTCAACCTCACTTGCAGTTGGAACGGAACAGATGGAACACTTACTGAATTTTGTCCATTCAAATTATTTTTTATCCATCTTCACAAATTTTTTTCAAAGAATTTTTCAAGTTTTATTTTTAATTAAAGTTCTGCTACAGAATAAACAACAATGCACTTAGCGTGTCCACACTTTTTGAAACCCATTTAATGCCTTTTTGATCAAAAACTATATAATTCAACATTCTTTTGCTACGATTATGTTTTAGATGCACATATTCAAACATTTTCATATAAATTATAAAATGAATAATCAATAAATATAATAATTAGTGAAAACAAAACAATTACAAATATACAAAGATTGAATAAAAATAAGTATAAGAATGAAAATAATATAGAATAAAACGTCCAATTAGTTCAAATGATTAATCACATTCATCAGATAATATTCAGTATTTGAATTAAGCAAGAAAGTCTGTCAGATTTTAATTGAATTTAATCTCAGCTGCACTGTTGTGTGTTTATTTAATTCTTCAGGCTTTAAGCCACAAATAAACGTTTGAATAGTTTGCATTTGCATAGTTCTATTTTCGAATGCTAATTTAGAAATTAAAAATGATAAATTTCTGAAGTATTTTTAAATTTATTCTGGAAGAAATGAAAATGTAATAGCTATTGAAGAAAGAAGAAAAAATCTTCCATCAAACTGAGAACTATATATAGAAATACCTACAAAACTTGTTTGCACTCATTAAACACGCAAAGGGCCGCGTAAAATACGATTATTACTATGCCGTTGTAATTTCAACTCGTATCAGTTGCATTGGAGAATTAATTGGGTTATTCGTTTTATTTATGCATTTGAGAGACTAGCGTATAAGAATCGTTAAGGAGTGCTATGAGTTTCAGAAGTAGACGTCATTTTGTGGTTTTAATCGTTATTTTATTGACAAATTTAGTGATAGCTTAATTGTGAATCTTGCTGTATGCATTATATTTGTCATTCTGAAACAAATCCTTCTGTAAGAGTGCGAATCAAAACTTTGGAAAGCTAAAACTTCCAATTTTTTTCAAATGTAACTTTAATAAAAATTAGCAAATTCTATACAACCTTAAGGAGATGTAATGCTTTGCAGTCAAAAATTGTGTTGTTTGTGGGATATGCAATGCAATTTATGACTCCCTTCCATTTAAATTGTGCCTTAAATGACTATTAGAACGGATAATTATCCTTTAAAAAATAAGGCAAACGCTGTTCTGAAAATAAAAAGTAAATATTGCAATTATTTGTTTTTGTAATTTATTTGTTTCTCATTCACTGAGTACACATTTCAGAGAATTTGTTAAATAATGGCGACTTCGAAGAGGCCGCCAGATGATGATTCTAAATTACCAACCTATAAATTAGTAGTTATTGGTGAAGGTGGTGTTGGAAAATCTTCATTAACGATACAATTTTTTCAGGTTTGATCATTTTAATTAATTCTTTTATTAAATAATATTTCATGAGACACAAATTCTAACAAAGAAAAGCATTTGAAATATCTACGATAAAAAATATGTGTTTATTACATAATTTTGCAATAATAAAGTCTTATATTAAATAGGATAATCACTTATAAAATGAAAACTAAGTATTCAGAAGCAGTTCGTTGACTATTACGATCCGACTATAGAAGACCAATATATTATCCATGTCGAAGTTGATGGTCAGTGGGTTATTATGGATGGTAAGTACATTCATATTATTAAGTTCATCATGTTTGAATTATGATCTTACAATTTTCTAACTTTTAGAAGTTTGCTATGTTTACTGGTAGTATGAGTTTTTTAATGAAAAAACAATCAAAAATTATTTCTGTTTATTTAGAGAATCTATTTTTGACTGTATATAAGATAGGGTATATTGAATGTTTTTACTCTTTTAATTGCTATATAAATTTATAAAGGTCTATTTTCTTGCAATTACTGCAACGTTTTTGAAAGTTAGTCTTTAATTATGAAAATATTTTTCACAAATTACAAGATATTCGTAAGGAAATATTTCTCTTAATTTGCTCAGGAAAAGGATGGAGATAGCATAAAGTTCTGGGAAAACTCTTTTTACCTATTTATTCATGTTCTAAGTCAGCTCTTGCATCTAAAATCTAATTTTTGAAATGATAGCACAAATTTTCAATTTAGAGTTAAAATTGTCTGACAATATTTTTGGTATTAGTCAAATCGTGGACGATTTTTGAAGTCAGATTTTGATTTTACATTCTAAAAATGTGTAGTTTTACTTTGTAATATGTGTTTTATATCTTGAGAAATGGGAAAGCAGTAAAAAAATTCATTACTTTTGCATTCAAACTAATCGCAGCTTTATGGTTTTTGTGTAGTCTTTCCAAATTACTATTTACTTTGTATATTATGATTTTTTGCAGATGTTTGTTTCACCATTAATTATTACATACCGTTACTAATTATAAACTATTTTTGATATCCTTCAATTTGATGAATCTTTACTTTTTTCTTTATGTATGCCCTTATAACGTAAACATTAATATGTTAGCTAAATTAAAGTGATTATCAATTTTTAGTGCTAGACACCGCTGGTCAAGAAGAATTTTCGGCTATGCGTGAACAGTACATGCGCAATGGTCGTGGTTTTTTGTTGGTGTATTCAGTAACTGATGTTCGTAGTTTTGAAGAAGCTCCAAAGCTTTTTGAACAAGTATTGCGCGTGAAGGATAAAACGGAGTACCCAATATTATTAGTTGCAAATAAAGTAAATCATATCAGTTCTTTAAACTTTTATTGATTATGCAGAGAAACTAAGTTATATTGAATGTTTTTTTTTGTTTATTTTCAAATGTTTTTGATAAAGACCATAAATCTTGTTATTTTTCTCTCCTTTTCTTATTTGGAATATTGTTATTTTTCAAGTTGAGGTATAACATTTGTCGTTAAGGTATAACTATTAATTTACCACATTATTTACTACTGTAATATGGTAGTAGTTAGTTTTGCTTTCTGTTGAATTGAATCTTTAATATTGTTGAGCGATGCAACAACCGCCTCTCATAGTTAAATTATTGGCAAAAGTTCTAGAATTTTTTGTAATTTGCAGATTGATTTGGTCAATCAGCGGAAAGTTACAGAGCAGCAAGGACGAGAACTAGCTGATAGACTTAAAGTTCCATATATAGAAACATCTGCCAAAGATCCACCCGTAAATGTAGATGCTGCATTTCATGAATTAGTACGTATTGTGAAAAGTTTCCCTAGTGATGAGGATAACGACATAGTAAGTATTCTTCACGCTTTTTTTTCGATAGATTTCTTGAATGGACACGTTTTTTCTTAAGCGTCATATTGACAAAATTTGGTGTAGACATTGTTTTACTTCAGCCATTGAATCACACTCTTGTACATCACAGTTATCTTTTTCATGCCTGGGGGCGGGGATAAAGGTTTATAGACTTTAATCTAGTTCAAAAAATGTTCTGGAAGGTTACTTATGAGAATTTTCAAAAATTTTCGGAGTTTGTCTAATTTAAACTTTTTCCTTATTTATGTGATAAATATTGATTTAGTATTTAGGGAAATGTGTCATTTTAAATTTTTACTTATTAAATGGTAGGATATATTAGTTTTATATTTTTTTATTTCCTAACGGACGTGGGTTAGTAAAATTTTATCCATAAAGTGATTAAATTTGAATGCAAAAAATGTTAGTTGAATTTTTTTTTGCATTTTTAGGCATGCGTAATATAATAAAGTTTAAACTTCAAAAGATCTGTGATATTCCTTGAAATAATAATTTTTTTCAGAATCATGGCCATATATCTTATGGTGGCTGCAGAAAGAATAAAAAAGTTAAAAATAAGTGCCAGATAATGTAACTTCGAAAATTGATCAATAACCTTCGAAATTTCGTACAAAGATCACTATTGTATTTCTTTTGCGGTAGTTTATTTTCATTTCTCGTCTGTGTTGATATTTCTAATATAAAACCATTCGAAACTTCTAGTGACAAAAGATGCTAGAATGAATTAGCCAATTTTTAGCTTATAATTTTTGAATCTATTTGCCTTTTCTGTGGCTATTTTTGAATCTCCATGTCATTTTTTTCGCTCATATCACTCATATTTGGCAGCCCTCAGTTCTCTCAAATCATTCGTTCATAGTTGAATAAGTATGCTTCAGTACATGGTACACAATCAAATAGTGCCTGAAGTCTTATTGGAATGTGCTTATTTTCTTATATTCATTATACCATGTGAAGTTTTTGTTTTATGAATATAACGTCTGTTTTAAGCATTCACATTCATTTGATGGGATGTAGATTAATTGACTATTATATTCATTATTCGAATTTTCATGTATTCAGTGTTTGTTTTTATTGTATTTGTTTTGCTCATTTCCCGTTATGCATTATTTTTGTTCTGTAAACTGTTGAAGTCTTTTTCATCTTATTACTCACCTTGTTTTAGTAATTCTGATGTGCCTTCTAATACCAGCATTCTTGCCTGTTTGCATTGCCATTCTTAGTAATCGAAGTAATTCCATATATCCAATCCTTTTAAATTTTGCATGAATAACTGAATTGAATGACTTTTATTTTCCAGCTTGCATGTTGAGAACAAAGTGCTCATCTTGCATCATATTCCTTTATAATTTAGTTTTTATATTTTCTTTTTTTTCTACTGCATTGTATGATTTTTGTTAGTGTTGATATGAAAAAAATTTTTTTTTGCATCATTTCTCAATAGTGCTGTTATGTAAGGCTTAGATGTATGTTGTGAAAATTTGTGTGCAAGTTAAATTTCTTGTGTCTGGGTACTAACTATTTAAGTTTGCCAAAAGCATTTTATTCATTGTAATATGTGAAAGCTTTGACTTTATGAAGTACTGCGGGAAAGTTGCTTTTACTATGATAGTTTTATTGTTAAGTATCATGAGTGCTGAGTTGTATGAATCATAAAAAATTAATAAACGAGAAAGTTTCATTTGTGCATCTGTAGTAATATATGGTGTCTAGAATAGTGATTTAAAATCGGCTGTATATATTTATAGTAATTTATTGTGAACAAAGTTTGATTCAGTAGCTAATTTACATATATTTTGAGGCAGATAATATTATCTGTAAACATGTATATGGTTATGCTTAGTAGTTAAGCATATTTTTCGGTGGAAGAAGTTCAGTGATTATGTAAGAAGTATTCTAATTATTGTCTTTGCTTTTTGTAGGATTGGATGAAATGGCAGAGGATTCAGCTCACTGTAGTCTTACCTTAGATGAAGCATTTAGTTTCATTTTCTACAATTCTCCTGGTGAACCTGTAACTCCTTATCGGGTCTGTTTTTTTGAACTGTAATGAGTTCATGAACTTCGAAATAGTTTGGATTTCTTGCAATTAATGCCCTTAATGATGTTTGCTTTCAATTCTGAATTTTCCTTCTTATTTTTATATTATAGCTCGCCATCTACCTACTCATTCGAGTTCTGGACTCATCGCATCGGCAGAATCCGTTCACTCCTAAGGAACATTATGAACTTGCAAAACTAGTTCATTCCCTTTTAAACTCTGTTAATTTGAGTTTTCCAGAAATGGTTGACAGAGTAATGACTCCATTAAAGGATATTTCAGTTCATCTTTTATTGGAATTCATGACCAAGTCAGTCCTTTCATCATTGGCATAAACTCATTTAACTTATTTTTTTTGTTCCGTTGAGTTATTTATTTAGAGATCTCATGTGTGAAAAATGGTTCTGTATATTATCAAAGACTTAAAGACAAAAGAAATTTAAATAATTGCCCCTATCGCAGTAAGTTTACATAATTGAAATATACTTTTTAAAATTTCGTGTAAAATTATTTCTTTCTTTCTTGGGTTCGAAATTTTCCATTTTTTTTGTTCACTCTAATTAGACAAAGATTTGTCAGGATGCAAAATCATCGTAGCGTTGTGGAAGTATTAGTTCGCCGCGATGAGTTATTTTATCATCCTCGAAAGTCGGAACGTTCAGGGCAGCCATTTGCTCTGCCAAAAAGTCTTATTGGTATTTTTATTCGTAAGGTATTTTCTTTTTAATTAATTTTTATTCTCTGTATACATCACATTCACATCTTTTTATTTATTATATACTGCTCAGTCTTCTTGTCCTTCATGTTTTTTCCGCAGGATATTTGAGTTTTAACCCATAATATAATTTAAGTTAGCTGTTTCACAAGCTTGCCAAAGCCTAACAGAAATTCAACGATCACACAAACAATGGTTAGATTGGCTAGATGATTCGCGTCCAGCTGCACGAAGCGACCTTTTTGGTAAATACTCCAAAAACATGACAGAATCATCTTCTACGACCCTAGGTATCAACTATGCTGCTTTTTATTTTGCGTTTATTTTGAAATGCCATCAGTTTTTTGCATTTGACGAATACGGTGGTGTTGTTCATTTTGTGTTCTTTGCAGTTAATGTTGGCATCGATATTTTCATTTATTTAAATACTGAAAAAGATTCTTTTTCAGTCGATCTTTACATTTGTTTATTTGAAGATTATAGAAATATTTCTTATAAAAATATCATGAATGTTTAGGCGATCCACATATAATGCCTCTGCTGGAAGACATAGCGCATTTGAGAGTTACACCTATTAAAGACAAGTTAGTCTTTTTTGAATTTTATTTGACAAGCAGTTTGGAATTATATATCTGCTTCAAAAATCTAAACTTTATAAGAGTATTATCTGCGATTTATGTTTTAGAGCTACGAGAATGAGTGAAGAATTCTTAAAAGCTTCAATATCACCGGTAAGTAAAAAGAAAAAAGACCCCTGCATCAAAGGCGCTGAGCGATCTAGACAAAATCTTTTCAAATCGGACACACCCTCATTTTCTGCAGCATTGTATGAAGTGCAGATGTACCCAGGTGCGCAACCACAATTGACTGAATTACTTTCTTCTAGTAGAGCTCGATCTCTTATCACTCGGCAGTTACATGCCTTACATGTTTCACCTGATGAAGCAATGGAAACAAAGCAGTTAAAAGCAGCATGTGAATTTATCAAGAAACATTATCAAGATTTACCGCTTGTAGTAAGTTTATGGAATATGTTCTGTTTATGAGTTCTCTTTTTAATTCGTTGGTGCTTAATTTTGATTTTAGCCTAACTTTATGAAGTATGTTATGTCTGTCACTTGTCTTTTTAATTTGTTCGTGCTTAATTCTGAATACAGCCTAGTATCTCTTTCATCGTATCTTTTTAAAATTTTAAGTTCAAATGATTACTAAAATACTTTACTTGACAAGTTGTCGTGTCCAATCAATTTCATAAAGAATAGGTGTTGCACTTTACTCGACAACTCATCATGTCCAGTCAGTAGTAAGTATTGCACGCAGAAGTTTGCGAATGATGCATGTATTGTATTTTTCTAATCTTTTTGAAATCCTTTCAGTTTCATTTATTCTAAATACAAGATTTAAATTTATTTACTTCAATTATATTTAGCATTTGGTCGATATGATGAATGCAATACGTACTCATAACATGATTGGAGCGGGGGAGGCACTTCAGCAGTTTTTTGACTGGACGGCAATACGCATTAATGAAACAGCCAATATAAATCGTTCAATCACTGCTGCTAACCAACGTCCATTACGGTACGCACCATTATTACACGCGCGACTTGCTCGAATTTTCGGATACAAGTAAAGTTTTTTGTTCTTTGTGGAAAACTAAATTTTCGTTTTTATCTGCAGTTTGTAAGCATACCTTCTAAGTCACGACCTTCATTTTGCGCATTTTATGTTTTGCTTCTTAAATGAAAATTTTTCAAAGTTTTATGGACCTTCAATTAAAAACAGTCACGTTCATCAAATTATCAGTTTTTGCCCCTCTGAAAATTTGATTTTCATATTTTTCTAGAGATCACGCTCGACATTTTCTATCAGAAACAATGCATCAAGCTCAAACAAGTCATGATGTGTTGTGTTTACGACTTGCTGAAATTGAACAAGCTGCCTCTGCCATAGATGAGGAAGTAAATTTGACTAGTGAGAAGGATGCAGCTCATGACTTAAAAAGTGAAGATATTTTGTTTGTAATAAATTTTTCGATTTTACTTTGGATGATATCATTTTCCTTTCATATTTTTTCCCTATTTGAAAGTGATGAAATCATAGATATATAGTAATGATTTATAGAACATTCGGTTCTACCAACACTATTTACATCAATATCAGTTGGTAGTGCTGATGCACAAGAAGCAATAGATGAGAACGATGAAACGAAAGTAGAAGGAAGTGATACAAAAGCTTTCATCAAGCAGCTTAATGATTATGCTACGCTACAAGCATGTATTAGTTTAGCAAAAACAGCCAGTGATCCAAAAAGGTAAGATGTGTTTGCTTGTTTTGAATCATAAGACTTTTGCTAACTGCACAATTTTCTTGACTACTGCAGTACTTTTTCAGATCGTAAATATATCTGATAAGTAATTCTTGTCTGTAAATTTAACATTTGCAACCTATTTTAATGTTTCCAGTATGGTGAAAGGTCTTCAGCAATGTATTGGTGCTGACTATGGAATCGATCGCGAATCACAGTCAAGACTCGTGAATGAAGCTGCTCGAGTAGTTGCAGCTACTGTTAAGCTTGCAAATGGTTACGCTGATATTGCTACTAGTGATTGCAATCGAATATTATATTTCAATCCTGGTGATCAGTGGTGTCAACGATATGACACTGAGTCTCATGTACAGATTTTATGAAATTTTTCTACAATCGAGTATTTCTTTAAGAATATTTTTTATTGTTCCTTTCTTTATTCTTTTCCGGAATATATTGATGTAATGTGAACTGATTACAAAATGGTTTTAAATTTCTTCATTTATTATGGATACCAACAAATGTTGCTTCTACTTTAGATCGTTCTTTTCTGCATTATTAAAACTAAATGTCATCATTTTTTTTCAATAGTCCGTAATCACAAATTTGTCCTCAGGTCATTGCTGGAGTTAATGTTGCATATTCATATGTTTTGAATGGGCGGTTTGATGAGGCTTGTATGGTTGTCAAAAAGTTAAAGGCACGATTTACAGAAAAAAATAACTGGCAGGTACTTTTTTTGCAGTGTATTTTTTTGGGGGTTTTTTTTT